CCCCCTCCCCGTCCTTCGTCCTGTCTTCCCCACCCCCAACCCCTTCCCTATCCTTTCCCTTCCTCATCCCCAAAATTCTTGCTTGTCCTCTCTAGGGAACTTTGTGGGGGTTACTGGCATGCACGCTGGACGGCGGTGGTGTGAGTGGCAGGCGGGGTGTGGGGTGGCATGAAGATTCTGATGGTTTAAAGAAAAGAGACCAGTTTTGAAAGGGGGGAGAGAGAAAGAGAGGCAAAGGGAAAGCAAAAAAGGAAAGAGAGAGAAGAAAACAGCTGGAGAAAGGCAAAGGAGGACGTTTGTTGGTGACAAAAGGATGGGTAAGTGAACTTTTCTTGTTTGTTTGCTAGCACAGCTGCAGCTGTATGGTATATTTTTCAGTTGCATTATTAGCTGTTCAAGAGGGGGAAACAGTCTAACCAGCAGCAGCGCATTCCTTTGCCAGGTGACTCACTGTACTTGCTATTGTATTTTTAGATCATGCATCCCCTTTTTTCCCCGCACACACGCACCTTTCCTCCTGCAGTGGTTTTGTATGTAATTCATCTGTAAATGCCTGTGCTCACAACTGGAGAGAGCACGTTTGCTGCCTGCACAACCCGCCCACGCACCTGCACACGGAGAGATAAGTACATGTATGCATCAGGCACACATGGAATTTCTCCTGGGTTTATATTCATATTCCATGAGCCTGTAGTGGTGTTATTCAGGCTGTGGGAAAGGGCTGTTAACACTTTGCAGTATGTGGGAAGCAGAGGGGAGGGGGGGGGGGATGTGATTTTCTTGTATAGGTGGTTTTGAAAAGGCTTGTTGGGTTTTTGCAAAGATACCCCTAATATTGCTGCTGGATTTCCAGCAGTCATTTGCCAGTCTTATTTTTTCAAGTGTGACAGGTTTATTTCCCTCCTTCCTTCCCCCCAACCCCTAAGTCTGTAACAGCCAGAACATGTTTCTAGCTGGCTGCTGCTGGCACATAGGCAGTAGCAAAAGATGAGGATTTAAATTAAAAATCGAACCATTAAAGTGAAAGGCAGAGGCACATACTCAGGGGCGTTTTAGATTAGGAATTATTTTGCAGATTGCCCTTTGGTTTAAAATTGGAGTAAATAACTGCAGTACAGGGGTGGTTTTGTGTGCGAGACAAATAATAAAGTAATTATTTATTGAGGAGATACCAGCTCTTAAAATGTTTCCTGTTGGAAGAATGCATTTTAATTCTTAGCAGGATTGCAACTCTGGACAGAGGCACCAGTCCTAAAATGATGACAGGCTAAGGGAAGAGTGCGTGCGTATGTAGGATTTTCTGACAGTCCCTCCAACCTCCTTTCATAATTATTCAAAGAATGTGGCAAATGTGACCATCCTCACGTAACAGCATTGCTGCTAGATGATAAATGTGACATCTCAAATCCAAAATCTTGAAATCAATAGAGCTGTGGAAGAGAGAGGGGAGTTGAAAATACAAATATACCCCTTTAAACTTTCTGTGTTTTACTGCTCCTAAGACAGTGTTTATATGTAAGTATTTGTGTTTATATTTTCATAGAGTATCTAATGTGCATACAAAATAATAAATGCTTAGATATTCACAGCTACATGTAGATAACTTTAAATTAATGTGTTAAGACTATGATTCCTTTTAAGGAAATATGTCTTCTGCCATTACCTTGGTGTTGGGGTCCCATACTAGCATTATATGGTATACTTCTCAGTGTGGTTGAACTTTGTTCCTCTGCATCTATTTCTATATTTTAGGTACATAAATATAATGGATAAACCTGCTCTTAAAAACAAATCACTTGGTGCAAAAAGTAAAGCCTTTACTTACTGTCTAATTTTACAATAAATACACGTTTTGAAGACAGATCAAAGTTTATGATAAGTAGATTTCTCATTTTTTGCAGTAAATTTTGGAGGAATTGCACTTGCAATTGCTTTTATTAAAGAACACGTTTAGCAGCACGTAGATACCAGCAGCTTTGGCTCATTTCCTTGCCAGCACTATGGAGCATTCAGCACAGTGACTTGACAAATATGTTTATTGTTAAAACTTCAGCATCTAGTGATGAGGATATACCAGCTACACTGAGAGATGATGTACAGGAGAAAAGCCTGTAGAGAAGAGGCTCTTGGTCCTTCTAAGGGATCATAAATCACACCCAAGTAATTGAATAACAAGAGTAGTACTGGGAAGGGGAGATGGCAAGCTGGAAACTCAAAGGAACAGGCGTTTACACAACAAAAAGTGCAAGACAGGAGGCAAACAGGTTGTCTTCAAAACCCACTGCTTCACTAATGCTTTATTAGAAACCCCCTTGACGTTAGTAATCTGTTGGTGATTTATTTTAATAGCTTCACAACGCACATTTGTTTTCTTTTTAATATTGTAGGTTTCCATGTAATTAAGCAGCTGAGAGGCATGAGTGTGGCGTTAGTGCTGCTTCCCGTGGTGCTGGTTGCCGTGCTCGCGGGGGCTCAGCGAGCTTGCCCCAAGAGCTGCAGATGCGATGGCAAGATTGTGTACTGCGAGTCGCACGCCTTCAGAGACATCCCTCAGAATATTTCTGGAGGGTCTCAAGGCTTATCGCTGCGGTACAACAGCATTCAGAAGCTTAAATCGAATCAGTTCGCGGGCCTGAATCAGCTCATATGGCTTTATCTTGACCATAATTACATCAGCTCGGTGGATGAGGATGCGTTTCAGGGGATTCGCAGGCTGAAGGAATTAATTTTAAGCTCCAACAAAATTACCCATCTGCACAACAAAACGTTTCACCCGGTCCCCAACCTCCGCAATCTGGACCTCTCTTACAACAAGTTGCAGGTGTTGCAGTCCGAGCAGTTCAAGGGCCTTCGTAAACTCTTGATCTTGCACTTGCGGTCTAACTCGCTGAAAACCGTGCCGATCCGCGTTTTCCAAGACTGCCGAAACCTTGACTTTCTGGATTTGGGCTACAACCGCCTGCGAAGCTTATCCCGTAATGCTTTCGCTGGCCTTTTGAAGTTGACAGAGCTCCACTTGGAGCACAACCAGTTTTCTAAGATCAATTTTGCCCACTTTCCACGCCTCTTCAACCTTCGCTCGATTTATTTGCAGTGGAATAGGATCCGGTCTATTAGCCAAGGGTTAACGTGGACTTGGAGTTCCTTGCACAACTTGGATTTATCAGGAAATGACATTACAGGGGTAGAGCCCGGGACCTTCCAGTGCCTCCCCAACCTGCAAAAGCTGAACCTGGATTCCAACAAACTCACCAACATCTCTCAGGAGACCATCAATACATGGATCTCGCTCATCTCCATCACTCTGTCCGGAAATATGTGGGAATGTACTCGAAGCATTTGCCCTCTGTTTACGTGGCTTAAGAATTTCAAGGGAAATAAAGAAAGCACGATGATATGTGCAGGCCCTAAACATATCCAGGGTGAAAAAGTGAGCGATGCTGTGGAAACATACAATATCTGTGCTGAAATCCAGGTGGTGGTTACTGAAAGATCATACCAGCCACCCAAAACTCCCCAGAGACCTGTCTTCATTCCTAAACCTACCATTTCCAAACTTGAAAGCAATCAGCCAACATCTGTAATGCCAAGCCCTTCCGCGGAGCTCCCAACACCCGGAGTGGAACCAGAGTATGAGCACGTTTCCTTTCACAAAATAATCGCTGGGAGTGTGGCCCTCTTTCTTTCCGTGGCCATGATTTTGTTGGTTATCTACGTGTCGTGGAAGCGCTACCCAGCCAGCATGAAACAGCTCCAGCAGCACTCGCTCATGAAGAGGCGCAGGAAAAAGGCCCGAGAGTCCGAAAGGCAAATGAACTCCCCTTTACAGGAGTATTACGTGGACTACAAGCCAACAAACTCTGAGACCATGGATGTATCCGTTAATGGATCTGGGCCCTGCACCTATACCATCTCTGGCTCCAGGGAATGCGAGGTATGAACCATGATCCTCCTAAAACCATTTCAGCTGCTGGGAAGGAGAGGTAAATGTTTGAAGCTCTTGAGGTGTCTCTAAACACTAGAAAGATTAATGGGATATTTTTGCTTTGGGGTTTGAAACGTTATCTTGTGTCGTGGTTTAGGCCATCTTGTTAAATAACAACAATCAGGGAAGTGAGGGTGATTATTTTGAATAATTCAGACTTAGAAGAAAGTATTAAGTTGAAGTAATCAACTACGATAAAGGCAGCTGGAGTGTTACTCTCCTCCTGTTTGCACCCATTTTATTAGCAGTGACTACAAGAGAGGTCCATTTTTAATGTGTTTGTACAAACAGAAGAGTTGAAGAACCTTTTCTGTTTTAAAAGTCCATATAGAAACCTCTTTACTCCAGACTCCGTGTCAAATCTTGAGGGGTTTGTGGCTTATGCCAAAGATTTTCTGCATTTTCTGTCTGATTCAGGAGCAAACCAGGGGACAAGAGGGACTGCAGCACAGCCTTAGAGTCAGGCACTCGTTTTCCTGGAGAAGCAGGAACGAAGAAGCTGCTCTGTTGAACATGAGCCTTGTCAAGGCCCCAAGCCAAACAGAATGTTTGCAAATATCTGGGTTGGGAGAGGGGAATTCTTGGGGTTTTTATTTCGTTTTAGTGGTCAGGGAAGGCTTAGCTCGCGAGACAACTCTACTGTGGTTAATAGTTTCACGCACTTAAGGCCACGTTATGATTTTGACTCAGCAACATGGGAAATACAAATAGCAAAAGCTCTCAGAGCTGCCTTTTTTTTTTTTTTTTTTCTGTTGTTCAGCTTTGGCAAGAAAATACTGTATTTTTTCATTGCTATATTGTCAACAACTCTATTAATGTGTATGTAAGAAATGTTTTTACTCATGAATGCCATTGCTTATTTCTTCCTGGTAAGGAATATTTGTGCAGATACTTTTCAGCACTCCTTACTTAATCCTGCACGTGATGTGGTATTAGGGGACCGTGGCTGATTTTGCTTCCTTTGTTGTGGACACCCTACCTGGGAGTGCTTAATGTGTCTGGTGAAATACATTCAAATGCATTTATGCAAATGTGGTTTGACTGTGGGAGGTCTTAACCAATGTCTTTGACAACCAGGTGGCTCGAAAGGCGTGTTAAGGATGAGCAGTGTTGAGCAGACTGCAGTTCCAGCATCCTGGTTTTTAAAAAGTGGATGTTTTTCACTTTCTGACAGAGGGCCTCTTTAAGATGTTTCACATTTGGCACCTGAAATCCCTAGCTGCTTTTGGACCACAGAGCTTAGGGGAAGAAAAGGAGGGGGAAAAAAAAAAAAAAAGTGTATATTTTGGAGTTACTTTCTCTGGATCAGTGTTGTCTTCAAAAAAGAAAGCCACCTGTCCTACCCTTGTCATTTCTACCAGTATCATGTGAATGAAGGTGTGGGGTTTTAGTTCTGTTAGCAGCACAAGTAGAAAGTAACTGGTGCTAACAAAGGTATTCTGAATTCTCACTGGCTGTCACAAGCAGCACTAATTTGACCTGAAAGGCCGTCTCCTCTTCATGCTGAAGTTTAACACCGCTGAAGTTTCATTAACTCGAATAAAATGCTGTTTCATTTACACCAGGATGATTTGGAAGACAACTGACTCTGCATGCCATAACCGAAATGCAACTGTAATCTGTAACAGAATTTGGATCGTGATTGTAGTGCACAGAAGATAGGGAATATGCAGTGTTGTTTGGGAGGCTGAAATTCAGATTATTTGGATTATGACAGAAAAAAAAGTTGAAGAGTCCTAACAGGTCTAGTAACAGAAGGTCAATGTGGCATAATTTCTTCACGTTGATGTCGATTGTTACACACAGCACCAAACAGGGAGGGACCCCAGTTTGTCTGGTTTCCAGGTGCTATTGCAGTACCAGAACAATTTTTTTCTGCTTTTCTGTTCATGTGAAGCTGGTGCACAACTCTGCGGAACTCGGGCTGTTTATCGTGTTGTCTGTGGGGTTCTTGGTTATGGTGTAAATTGGTATGACTGTGCTGAAGGTGATGGTGCTGTCCCAGCTGGGGCTGGTTGATATACCAGCCACTGTATTTGTGTGGTGATTTAGCATGTGTTGGCTATTAGTACAGAAGACTTGAGGAGACAGAAACCAGCAGATCACTGAAAGCACATGTAGCAACCCTAAGCCCCCACTGAAATACTATCTTCAGCATGGATTTAACATTCTTGGTCTCCATAGCTACAAGGTTCCACTTGTAAAAGGATAGATATGCACTGTACGGTACTTAAAAATGGTAAGAAAAGAAATAATTCCTTGTAGTGTCTTCAACAGTGGAAAGGTTTTATGTTTGGGGAAAAAAAAGAGAATGGAACATCTCATTATTTACTAATTTACTTGGATGTACATATTTGTGGGAAAACCATTATTTTGTAGAAGTGAGATGTAGCTCAGGTCCATCCTCCTGTCCGAGTTGCTCGTTCACTGTGCTCAGACTGAGGTTTCTCCCAAAAAATTACCGCTTAGAGGGGGCAAGAGTGTCTCGTTACCAAAACGAAGGCAGGTGGGTTTTCAGAATTCATTGCTTATGAGTTTATAGATTTTACTTTTTTCTTAGTAATATTTTTCAAATTATTGTCTGCTTTCACGTGTCTACTCCCACACACGCCTGTAAGCAGCTAAGGTGCCCCAAAATTGCGTGTCTTTCAGGAAATACAGAATGGCTTATTTCGATTTTAACCCGGGGAGGACGCCGGAACACGCTCTGTTGCTGGTAGTTGGTGACAACGAACGGTTTGTGAGTGTGGCCCGAGGTGTGAGGGTGCCTGTTACGGTCACGGTGATTATTTTGGTTTTACAAGTGTCCAGCTCATCTCAGCCATAAGCCACTTGTTTTCCGTGGCAGAATTGCCCTCGAAATGCCTAGGCATCTACGCGGGTACACACGTGAGCAGAGGGGATGTTGGTTTGAGTTGGGTGAGGTTTCCAGCGTGTGACACGGCCAGGCAGTGCAGGAGATCTGCCCTGTGCTGGGTCCTTCCAGCCAGTAGGGCAGTTGCAGGTACGGTTCGTACGGCCGCTGTGGCGGGTCCATGCTTTGTGAATTATTTGTTGTACTACAGAGAGAGCCAAAGTCAGGCTTGCCGTAAATGGGAGCAGCTCTCTTGGCATCGGTGGGATTATAATCACTGACACCTGGCCTGTGCTATTCTATTTAGTCTGTTGGCAAAGGTTTCTAAAAGAACTGGATGGTTACGATTTTGGCTGTCACCATCCAGTGAGCAGACTGCTGCTATCTCATTTTGGTATTTGCTTTGCTTTGTGCATGTGCGTCTTATTCCCTCTCTCTTTCATATTTATTTGTACATTTACTGAAGATCTGGGAGCCGTAAAAAGCAATTTCATAAACCAAGCTATAATATTATGTTTTCCATACATATCACACACAAAATATCTGTACGTAGCACGATAGGAAGGTATATGGGGAGAAGGAACATTGCTGCAAAAATGTTTCCTCCATCCTCCTGGAAGGTCGTTCATCTCCCGTGTCTCAGGCTGGCAGTTACAAAACAAACACCAACCAACCCAACAAGTGAACATCTTTTCTGTGTTAGCTGAGCACCGCTGATGCAAAGCCCTTTGGGAGGCGATTGACGCTGAGCCTGTGAGGTTACTTTTTACACTTTCACTTCTCAATGTCTAACCATGCCCCCGTGTTCGACAAACAAGCCCACCTGTTCACATACAAGTACATCTCTGCTGCGGTGCGCCCGTGTTCTCCACCGGCGTGAAAACCGGGGCGTTTGTCACTTGTGTTCATACATGCTAAATCAGTCACACCAAAGTAGGTTCACTGTGAATTCTGCTTCCTCCCCTCTTGCCAGTGGGAAGAAATAGATGGATAAAGGAATGCAACATATGCAGGCTTGGTGGGCTGCTGTTGACCTCCTCCTTTTGAGCCTAATTTAGAAGGAATCGTTGTCATGCAACTGTTGTTTATTATTTATTTATTAAACACCATTACTGTGTTGTTTTGAACAGGATGCAAAAAGAAAAAACAAAATAGTCTCCGTGGCCCAGATACTGTTTAGTCTGAGGTTCCTGTTCTGCGAGGAGGTTCATGGTTCTGTAACCCAACTTTGGCAGGGCTGAGCATGAGCTTGTGGGGTATTGCAACCTTGTGAGAGAAATCACTCAATGATTTGGCAGGTTTTTTTTTTTTCTTTTTCTTTTTAAGAACAGTGATTGTCTTTCCTTTGGTCATCAGCCTTATGTTTTTATAAGGAATACTTAGCAAGGAATTCATGGCAGAGATGCAAGTTTGTCATAGCTTGGGGGAATGCAAAAGGAAGGTGATTCCACAGGTAATGTGTTACAAAGAGAAGAATACAGGAGGAGTATGGGAAGCAGTAATTGTTAAATTGTTAATTAGATAGCCTACTGTCCTTGTTTTAGGGCCAAAGCGGTGCAGTTGTCTTTCCAGTGATTCTGTTTTGGAACGCTGTAGGATGGGCATTGCTAATTTAGCTTTCTCGTATCCTTCTGTGCTATCACTCTTTCTCTGCCTCTCTGTCTCCACCTCTCCGTGATTATAGATGGACCTGGAATTCTTGCTTGAGTTGTAAACTGAAGGGTGAATCAATCTGGTGAAACTCTGTCATAAGCTCTGTGTTTGTATTGGGAGAGTAAGCAAAGGCTAAGCTGATAGTGCTTTTCCTCAGTGCAGTATATCTGGAAGAAATATGTCAGAAGTGGCTCAGAGGTGAAATTTTTTAGGCACAGGGCCAGTGAGAGGTTTGAGGAGAAGGTAAATTTTAGAAATGTCGTCAGGATTCGGACCCAAGGTAGAAATTTGGGTTTGTTACCGTTCAGGGCCTTCGTTAGCATTGCACACTTATTGTTGCGAGTATAATGCCAATATGCAGAAAGTTGTGCCATGGAGGTACCCGTGATGTAGCAGTAAATGCACAAGGGCAAATTTTCCCAGGCTCAGCGCTCGCAAAGTGTGAGAT